AGACCTGGTTTAGACCTGGTTTTAGTTCTGGTTTTAGTTCTGGTTTAGTCCTGGTTTAGTCCTGATTTTAGTTCTGGTTTTAGTCCTGGTTTAGTCCTGGTTTAGTCCTGGTTTAGACCTGGTTTTAGTTCTGGTTTAGTCCTGGTTTAGACCTGGTTTTAGTTCTGGTTTAATCCTGGTTTAGTCCTGGTTTAGACCTGGTTTAGTCCTGGTTTAGTCCTGGATTGGGTTAGTCCCGGATTGGGTTAGTCCCGGTTTTAGTCTTGGTGTTAGTTCTGGTTTAGAGGCGCACAGGAGGAAGCGCGGTTTACGCAGCGTATGCGAGAAAACGTACGCGGCGCACGGGAGGACAGTGGTGTCCGCGCAGTAACTATGGAAGGAAACGTGGTCCGCGCGTTCTCAGGTTAATGACGATGATGAAGGTGTGTGTTTGTGTGTGTTTGTGTTTGTGTGCGTGTCCCCTCATGTGGCAGGTCACTATAGGACAGTAGTGCAGACATCATGAGCCTATGCAGGTTGTTTTCACCAGTGACATTTAAGTTGTAGGCGATTTTATATTTGTTATTTTCTTTTATATTTCACGTCGGGAGAATAATTTCCAAGACACGAATGCGTTTTTACCTGTGCACTGCTGACTCTGTTCTACTGGCTCTTCGACCTCGTCCATTGTGCGACTGACGCCGCCAACGTTACCATGACGTTTACATCGCTCTTACGCGTTTTGTGTGGGTTTCCGGCAATGAGTGGAATTACCGAAATAAAAAAAATTATAACTGTGTTTTTTTTTGTGGGTGTGTTGTTGTCCCAGCAACACATAAAAACAGATTTTATAATAAAGCAACTCGTATACAGAAACAGTAAAGTTAGAGATTAAAAATGAGATTAAAGCGATTAAAAAACATAACGCGCTAAATATGACTGTAATTAATTAATCGCAATTAACGCGATAATTTGACACCCCTAAATAAAATACAAAAATAAAATGTTAAATGCCATGCTGGGACATTCCAAATAAAGCAACAGTGTCTCCATGGAGACAAGCAGATAGTTGGCTCTCCACCAGAAAAAGTTACACAGTGCATCTTTAAGCTGCACTTTTAGTTAGAGTACTTGCATTTAAAGATGAGACTAAATGTAATACATGTATTATTACTTTTGTAACTTCTGTGATTTTTAATGTTCTTAGACTTTGCCACAGTTGCAAAAGAGTGTACAGATTTCCACTTTCTGTGCCTGGAGGAACAGCTGGAGGATGTGCAGCAACTGGTGCTTTATGCCAGAGCACAGCGGAGTAGCAAGCAGAAGGACCAGACTGGTAAAAAAAAATCTGACTTGAGTTTTAATATTCATCACTGTAGACATCATAGAGTACACTGTGACCTCAGGAAGTCTTGAATATTCAAGAGTGTGACATGTGTGTATGTGCACTATATATCAGATACTAAATCTGATTACATTTTTTTAGTTTTATTTCTGAAAAACACAACAACTCAAAAGAATGTAGTGAAATGTACTCTCCACAGATTTCTCTGAGGAATCCTAATCATAATTTATCGTTATCTTTATTTGTCTCACAATGGGGAAATTCCACTGTTCCAATGAAAGTTCAAGAACAGCTAGAGAATAGAGATATGCAATAAAAAAATCAAGATAAATAACTAACAATTCTAATACTAATACTTTGAAATGATACATAAAGGCATAAACAGACTAGAGAGCAGGCTGAGCAGGCTTCTCAGGTCAGACCAAAGCATATTAGAGATCGACCATCATGGGTTATTTCAAGATCAATGTCAATTCTGATTGTTTATATGTATAAAGTGCAAATATTGGCCCGATATATCGACCAACTGATATATTGATCTATCTCTAAGCATTTTAAACTTAAATCTAACTTAAAGCCACATTATTGGAAATGGCAAAACAGTGTAGTTCTTGTACTAATGATGGAGCAGGACCATCACAGGTATTAGTTTGAGGGATTTTTGTTGAGTTGTATACCATCAGAATACTTTTTACTGTAAACTTGTAGAATAAAAAATGCATTTTAGTAAAACGTTAAAAAAAAAAAAAAAAAAAAGGGGAAATCAGTGTAGAATTTTAGGGGGAAATGTATTTAATCAGATTTGGTACAATAATTAATACAATATTATCAGTGTTTTGCTTTTTTGTTTTCGTACGTTCAGAGGCCCCAAGAAATGGCAGTGAAGATAAAAGCAAGAATGTTGAACGAAATCCGTCTAACCTTTTACCAGGTAGGATAAGGTATTAGAAAGCCTTTCATCAAATGGTAATAGAGTTGTTCAAATCACCATAGTCTTACACAAGGTATAAAAAAGGATAAATGATACAAATGTAATACTGCTTATACACCATTCAGGTGAATTTTACATTTCTCGTCATTCCAACCTGTCTGAGGTCCACGCTGTGTTCCACCTCTGTGTGGATGACAACGTGCGCTCTGGAAACATCAATGCGCGGGACCCAGCCATCATGGGCCTGAGAAACATTCTGAAAGTGTGTTGTACCCACGACATCACCACAGTGACCATCCCACTGCTGCTGGTGCATGACATGTCAGAGGTAAGAAGGGAAAAGTCAAATAAAACCTGTAACAGATCTAGTTAAGAATCTAATCATCTCATTAAATCAAAAGTTTTTTCAACAAACTTGCATGTAGTTACAGGATATCCAGTGTGCCTCTGTGTGTATGGCATCTCAACATTCTTCAAATATTTTCTATTTTTGTTTTGACTAAGAGAGGCATCTATTAGTGTTAATTCTCACCTTTGAGTTTTGAAATACTAACATTTTCTTAATCAATTACAAAGTGATGTTTTTATCTTTTATAGGAGATGACAATCCCATGGTGTCTCAAGAGAGCTGAACTGGTTTTTAAATGTGTGAAAGGTATGTCTGATTCATGTTTCTTCGAGGGGTGTGTTTATTTTCTGCTATTTTATGTGTATTTTTTATATTTATATTATTCTTACAATAGTTTAACACAGTGCTGTACTAAGAGACAGAATATTACAAACTATTATTTGTCTATTGTTAGGTTTTATGATGGAGATGGCTTCATGGGATGGAGGCATTTCCCGTACTGTCCAGTTCCTAGTTCCCAAGGTAGGTTGGATCATTAGTCACTACATGTTAATCCATATTAATACATTTAATATAAGATTGCAATAGCCATTGCTTAAGTTGGTTAAGCAAGCATATTATCTCTGTTTGTGTCATTTGAGGATGTAGATAGTATCTCCCTGTGTTAGTTAGTGAGTTAGCTGAAGATTTGGCATTTTTTGCTCTAATTAAAGAGGCAGATTAAACTCACACATTTAATCTGTCTTTAATATGTATGTAAATACATTGTTTCCTCTCATATGAATCTTGTGGTATTTGTTTGCTACTTCTGCTCACATGTTTCTTTGCTTGACAGAGTATTTCAGAGGAAATGTTTTACCAGTTGAGCAACATGCTGCCTCAGATCTTCCGAGTGTCCTCCACTTTGACTCTCACCTCAAAGCACTAATAAACACACACACCTCAAAATATAGAATTAGAGCAGCTCTAATAATTTATACCTCTTTGGATTATGTTTAAATAGGTTTTTACACACACATGTGACAGGAGTTTTTACTTAAATGTTTTACTTTTATTTCCAAAGATGTGTGTCATAAAAATCACAAAAAAGATGAATACAAATGTGCTCTGTTCAACACCAAGTGTGTTGGTCTGTGCTCCAATCTGAATAACAGCAGATGGCACTGTTCCTTGAGGAATGTGAATGTGGTAGATCAAAGAAATTACTCTTGTTGAAACTTATTTCTGAGATTTGTTTATGATCTGTCTTACTTATTGACATGGTTATTCAGAATGTTTGTTTCCCATTACTGTGTATGTTACATTTTTACAGATCATTAAAGGAAACATTTTGTTTACATTTTTTCTGGTTTCATCGTCAGTCGACAGTAGCACTGGCCCTTTTTTTCCTGTGGTGGAGGTTAGCGGAGCATTCTGGTTATGAAACTTTATTAATTAACATTGCTTTTTAACAGTCTGTAAGCCTGAATAGTTGTGCTCGGTTGGGGTGTCAGAATAATTAAAGGCTTGATGGATCTTGTCCTCCTTTTTAAATTATAACATGATAAGATTTGTAATGAACTGTTTACTTGACAGCTAATAAAAGCTGCAGCTGTTGCATGCTATTTATTCTTTAATATAGAGAAATGGGAATAAATATTAGAAACTTTTGAAAGTAATTTTTGTTGCACTAGTTACTGAAAGTTTGTCTAGTCTGAACAGAAATGTGCTGGGCACCTGCTAAAGTCTTGTTTTGAATGCAGTGTAACTCAAGAACTACTTCACTGACAAACACATAAGAAGGGGACGTCCAGTCAGTCTTTTAGCAAGCTCAGAAACCTGAGCCCTGAGAAGTTATCTGCGTCATGTGATGGTCCATAAAGTGTCCTCTTGAAAGTAATGTACTGTAGTCACTCATCTGTCCTCCTCAGAGCTTGATTTCTTTGATTTGCTCTTGTAATCTGAAGTCTCTAAACTTTTCTGTGCATTTACCCTACCCCTTTGAGCACAACTATTCATCAGTAATTGATTTTTATGGAATGGGTCTCAACAACTGAAGTTCCCTGAGAATTACAACCCATAGGAATGCAGACAGCCAAAGAAATAACACACCCAATAAGAAATAATAAAAATACATTACACCAACTTAAATCACAAACTCTACAACAATAATAAGTTTCAGGGCTTTCCTATTCTAGACATTACAAGAAATTGTTAAACTTACAAGTTAAAATCTTTTTGTACATGCACCAGCCCGAAACATAGAATATAAAACATTTGAGATGAACAAAGCATAACAAATTGAAATTGCCCCAGCACTAGGTTGAGTAACTATTGATCTACCTGGAAACGGAGTTACATGTGCCCTTTTATGGTGCGCTTATATTTGCGTTGGATATCAAGGTGAAAGCGGAAGTTGCCTCTCCAGAAGATCTAACTTTACACCAGTTGTCGCTATTGGCTCGTATGAGACGGTGAAAGACAGAGCACGGATTTCTACCCCTGCATCCAGCTCAAGGTAAAGTTAAGAGCTCTTGAAGGTTTTAATTCTGAGTTAAAAGTATGGCCTTATTTGATTTGCTTGTCACTGCTGATTACTTGAATCTCGTTTATTGCGCATAGAGAAACTTCGAGTATTCATTGGAAGTTTCACGCTGGCAAAGTTGCCTTGGATGATCGCGTAAAATGGCACACAGAGCACTCCAAACGTAGCCTTGAAGTTCGTGTTTCTCCTTTCAGGGGCTTTGTGAACAGGAATTGTAGCTCATTGTGAGTGGTTGTGAGGCTGTGTCTAAAATTAACGCTCTCTAGTTACATCCGAAAACGTGGCTCTTTCTGGAAGTTTTTCGTTTTGCTGCGTCGCTCACTGCAGCGGCAGCCTTTTACCTCCAGTCTCTGTCCACTGCTGCTCATTTGACGCGGTGTAGTGCCAAGTGCCAAGTGCCAGGGTGGCTGCTTTGGCACGGATGATTTTGTTTTTTGTTTTTTTACGGGCGAGGAGTAAGGTAATGTAAACCTCCCACGTGTTGGTCACTGCACTACCTTGGTTTGTTTCAATGTAACGTGGCCTTAATGTGGGTTATTACGACTACCGATGCTGACACATCACAGGACACATCAGACGGAGGGAAAGAGGCGTTTGGGGACACCGGGGAAAGCTTACTCCAGTTTAGTCACCTTATAGACTACGGCAGATAAGCCTAGACCAACTATAAACGAATGGGCTATACCGCTCCTCTGTGTCCCGCGGACCATCGTTACTAACCCTGATAAATGCTTATTGCGCAATAGGGCCCCAAGGAGGAGGAAGAGTTGATGAAGTAGTGAGCTGTGTGACTTCTTCGCTCATTTCAGTAGAGGTTTTGAAATATTTCGTGGCTTATGGGGACATGTCATTCTTTAAACTGTACGTGCCTGGACTTGTTCAGAGCTTTTCTTTTTATTTCTGAAATTATCTTTGGTATTTCATGATTAGACCTATTTTATTACGATATTTTCTGATCTATGTTATGGTTTCTTCATCAAAAACATACCTGGAGTTCACCTTCAGTACACCTTTAATATAATCATTTGGATGATTTCAGGACTGGAATTGCCAATTTCAAATGAACAATATATAAAAGATAGCTGTTTACGTAAAAAACTACTACATCACAAGGTGGAACATTTTGAGCTTTGGCGATGTAGACTAATGACTACTGATGACTAATGACTGATAATGCAGGATTACTCAAACATGTGTGAATGAAACAAACACAACTCTGGGTATGTTTTTGAGGAGGTAACAACATTGTAACATGGCTTAAAGATCACAAGAATCAATTTTTGACCCTTTATAGCCCTATCTATGAGGTTTGTCTTCTAGAAGATGTGAGGTTACCATATTGTATACACCCTTTAAGGTGACAGAAAAATCGTTGCTCAAATTTCGTATTATTCTTTATGCCTGTTTCTTAAGTTGTGATCTCTGTAGAGGCATACCAAAGTTAATGATCTAGACTTCTTCACTTTTTGCTAATGGCGAGCAAAATTTCCTCCTAACGTTGAGAAATGCATGAAACATTCTTCCTTTTTGAGCATGAATGAGTGTCTTTTACTTGTGTTCGGCTGGTACTTTGCAAATGGTTAAGAGAAAGATCAAAAGGTTAAACAGCTTTAGCCGTTGACAGGGAAACTTTTATTGTCTCCCCGACTCTGACCCTGCCATTTCATCCAGACCCCTGTCGCTCTCTATGGACCACTCAAGTGTGCTATTCATTCTCTGCAAGAAAATAGACTCTTCCGTTGGCTGGCTAACTTTGAACTCTTCTCGTCTCTTCAGTCATTATATGAACAAACTAAAAACTGAATATTCCTGTATGTATACATTCTCACTGTTTCTAGGCCTGCTTGTCGCCCCGGGAGTGTTGTGCATTCTCCTCACAGAGCTCATCTGTTCCATAGAGATAGAAATGCATGTTTTTTCAGTGTGGCCCAACCAGCTGGCTGTTCTAGCTGGTGTCTGACAGTCTTACAAACCCTTAAGTCATGCAGCAGATAATCACCCACTGTTGAGTGTGGAGCTACTTAGGCAAACTGAAAGCTTTGCACTTTTAATCACTCGTAGGCTGGTTATCTCCTGCACGCCGAGTCCTCCTCCTGCTTTTTAGCATGTACCTGGGACCACACTCGTTTTCACTCCTCCGTGTGTTTTTGAAGACTGGTTCTGGTTGGAATATGTGATTACTGCTCTCCTCCTACTTTTGGGAAGGGTCTAAAAGGGCTTTGCTGGAGGGCTTTCTTCCTCTTTCACCTCTTGTCCTCTTCAAAGCATCACATTTCTGTGGTGTCATGTGTAGCCATGAACAATCACAGGTATGTGCTCTGTACTCTCAAACAGCACCAGCCTCAATCACTTTAGAAAACCTCTTTTATGGTGTTCATGACACATGTCTTGGTGTATATGAAGTGATCTTAGATTTATCTTGGTACTCTTGATGCCACTGGTATTAGTCTTAACTTTCTACTTCACATAGGTTATACATATGTAATATGCTTTGGTTGTCCGTATAGGAAATAAAAGAGAAACTTCTGCATTTAAATTGCCCTGGGGTTTTAGTAGCTTAATTTGAGCTTGGTATGTTATTTACACAAGCTGCCATAACTGTGTTGGCTAATGTATCTGATTTGCCTTGTTTCTATGTTGTATTTTTATTGTAACATGGAAAAAAGTTGCAGACAGATTTGTGGAATTTCTAGACTGCAAACATCTAAGAATAAAAAGAACTGAAAAGTTGTCTTGAATCAAGGAGTTTGATTTATTGAAGCAATTGTGTACATGATCATAAAACTGTCTGTCCCTGACAGAGTGCCGTCTGTCCCTAAACTGTAACATAACAATGCTTACAAACTTCTTATACCCCGCGGGGAGGCATAAGGCACACCGATGATAATACTCATAAGATAAGACCTTGTCTCTTCTGAGAACAGGTCAACACAAGGCTGGGTCAACAATCAGTGAAACAACAAGCTAGGATTTATATAAACTGTAGACTTGTATGAGGAGCACAGGGAGCCAGAGCGCTCTTTTACACAGGATAACTGCTATGATTAGGGTAAAGATGTAGGAATCAAGAGGTCGTGATAACCTCTCATAACATTAGACATCTTACATACCATTTATGAACAGCCTAAACCCAACAAAAAGATTTCAATAACAAGCCCACCCTTTTGATTATGATGAAATCACATTTATTCTTATTCAACAAAAAACATTTTTTATATGAACAATGAACAGAAATAGAGGTGGGTATATATATAAAATTTTGATTTGAGTTACTTAATTGCTATGATCACCGAAGACCATGGCCATAGCTTCATTACTCATGAATAGCGGCAGCTATGAACTGAATTGTCCTTTGGGACGAATAAAGTTATCTGATTCTGATTCTACAGCGATGACAATATTCTCCTGAGAAATTCTATTCTAGGCAGTGTCCCACCTGCTTGAGCAGTTGGGAAGTCCTGCTAGTGGCGTGGAATGTGCATCATTAGACTGCCATAGCTCACTAACTGCAGGGGGAGGTCTGAATATTAAGTGACCATGGTTCTCAATCTGCTCATTGAGAGTAAACAAGTGTAGATGTCCTTTCCCAGCTCTTAGGTCTTGGGGTCAAAGTCCATGCAGCCTCCCTGTAATAGTGCACTGCCACCAGCTGGGCAGAAGAGAAAGACCTCTGATGGGGGGGCTGCTATGGTCTGAAAATAAAAAGTTGTGTCTTCAACAGAGGAATGTTAACTTTCTTACAATGAACTTCTGCATCTGTTAACTTGAAGAGCCTGTACTCCGCTTGCATGCTAGTTGTATTTCGCTTTACCTTTGTGGTAAACTCTGCTCTTGCCTCCTGTGAGTTATGAAAAGTGTGCAATAAATTTAGACTGCTGCAAACAGCTAAAAATATGAAAAACAAAACCAGAAATCACCAAAAATCAGGTGCAGTAGCAGCTTTGAAGTGATAGGTGTGCTCACTCAAGCTTTTGTTTAGATTGTTTTAATATCATCTCTTAGCCTTACAAATGCATCTTCCATATCTTTCACTCAGGCCGGCTGTTCTGTGTGTGTGTGGGTGCTTTGGCACTATTTCAGTTCAGTGGCTCGCCTTGCAAACTGCTCCTGATTTTAATCCTAAATTGCTGCTCTGCGTTTTTCAGCATTGACTTGAACTTAAATGCTCTGTTACATAATTAGTGGAATGGACTTACCCCATAACACATTTCTAAAAGTAGAGTTGGTTTGTGGCCACGGGAGTTCTCAAGTTTGGCTTTTGTTGTAATGTGCTATGGAGAAGCATTTAGCATTCATATCTTTTTGTTGTTGTCTTTTTTGGGTCTCTGTGCAGCACTTGGAAATGGTTTGTAATTGTTTGTAAAATGTGTTTTAGAAATAAAATGGATTTTGATGTAGGAGCAATAGCATTTTTTTCCTATGTAAAAAAATGGAGCAATGAGCTATAAATGTCTCTTTGTAAATGCTGTTTATATTTTTAATTTCTTTGACACAAATAATCAGAAAGGTATATTGTACAAAATTGACTCTTGTGAGCTTTTAGCCATGTTATAATGTTGTTACCTCATCAGAAAGTTGTGTTTTGTTTCATTAACACATGTCTGAATAAACATTTATTATTAGTCTGTCAACCTCCAAGGCTCAAAATACTCTGTTTCACCTTGGGATGTCATGAAGGTGTAGTTTTCAAGTTAACAGCTCCTTTTACCTTTCGTTTGATAAAGATAGGCATTTCTAGGGCTGAAATAGGCTCTATACACACATACCAGAAGACGTTGGAAACATGTGGATGACGACTTCCGGTGTAGTTACAGACAGTGGGCATGTGATAAAACCGTGGATTCAGCAGCAGTGTTTTTCACAACCTGCTAAAGCTTTCCAGGAGATGTGACTCTAAACATAGCTTCAATTGCAGGCGCTGGTTGTAACTGTTGATCTGCTGAATAAAACGGAACACTTCAATGACATCTTTT